CCGCACTGGGGTCCTCCTCTGAGCTCCCACAGGCACCTGTGCGTTCCCATCCCAGCACGAGCCTCGGGTAGCAGAACTATCTGCCTGTGTCTGTGTGGACAAGCAGACTGGGAACTCCTGGGAGGTGGAGGCTTAGTCTGAGTCATCTATGTCGCCGAGCACCAGGCAGGTACCTGTGAGGGGCTGCGCGGTGTGTGCTGAGTGAATAAGGAAAGGCTCCTCATTAAAATGGTCTCCCTTACCAATGTCACCTCCTCAGGGAGGCTTTCCTTGACCACCCATTCTCTACTTCAGTGGTTCTCAAACCTGGAGGGTTTGATGAAACACGGGGTTTCTGATTAAGTGAGGCTGGGGAGGGCCCCAAGAATGCGTGGCGCCCTGAGAGCCATCGCTGAGCTCCATTGCCCCGGTTTCCCTCCCTCGCTTTGAAATGGTGTCTCCAGCGACTTCCTCCCGTCTAAGCTCCATGAGGGCAAGAATTTGGGGCTGTCTTGTTCCGTGCTCAGCGCAGAGGCTGGCGCGGCACTGAACGAATGTCCAGACTTAAAAATAAAGGGATAGATGGTCCGCTGGGCGAAGGAGCCAGGAACATCCCAGAAGTCCAACTCGGTGAGTTCTGGTCCCTCGAATCTCACGAGCCTCCAGCGGTGCCCACAGCCACCGCCCCTTTAAATGTGCTCAGGGACGCCCCGACCCTCGGTTCTTTGGATCCCTGACTCAGCAGGAAAACAAAAACAAAAACAAAATCCTTCCTTTTGGGGACGGAGGAAACGTCTAGGAGGGAATGGAGGTGCGGCTGCGGCGCAGGCAGAGGCGCAGGCTAAGGCGCGACGGCCAGAGTGCAGGGTGCTGGTGAGGAGCCCTGGACCCGGAGGGGACGCGAAGCCACGCGCTGCCCCGGCCGCCGCCCCCGCAACCTCCAGCGGCGCCGAGGCACGCGCGCCAGGGGCCCGGGCCAGGCGCTCGAAGTTGGAGCTCCCGGAGCGCCCGGGACTAGCTTCCTAGGATTCCCCGACCTTCCGGTGCTGCTCGGCCTCGGCCGAAGCATACATGGCTCCGGGGCCCCCTCGCCGAGAATCGGGGTCCACCCCTGCCAAATTGCCCCGCCTCAGGGACCCCCTCAACCTTGGCGAGGCCGGGCCCCGGCCGTGTGAGCTCGTAGCCCACTCTCACGGCTGTCCGCAGAGTGAGGGTCCCCCGACAAGGGAGAAAGACATCCCTTTCTCAAAAGCGACTTGGTCGGGTCCCCAAACCCTTGGCCTCCACTCCCAGACGTCACAGACAGGCCTTGCTCCCTTCTCAGGGGCCCCACCTGACTGAGGCTTGGCTGGACACAGTCCTGAAGCATGCAGATTCCAGACATGACCCCCAGCAGAAATACACATCACTGTTTCAAACCTTTGGTGTGTCATTCTTGAAGGGATGAGATGGTAGCTATTCAGTCATAATATTCCAAGGGTCCCCGGATCTACCCTCCAGTTATTCTAACTTAACAGTGAGTTCTCAGCAGAGTCTGTCTTCTCTTGACCTTAGGAGACTTTGCCTTCTGCAGTGCTATGTGTGTAGCTAGTGGGTACCCAATGGAGTAGCTGTAGAATGGGGTAATGTAAGCTCCATGAGGGCAGCAGGGAGGGTGACGGCAAGTTCAGCCTTTTCTCGTGGTCGCTGGCTCATAGAAAGTGTTTATCAGTAGCTGCTGGATGAATGAATGCACTGACCCGGACACTTCATTTGAGGAGCGCAGGATTTCATTTGGTTGATTTTCATTAGTTGGCTGTGTGTAGAACAAAGGTCTGTTCACCTTGTTTGCAGAATGAATCTTTAGTGGAAAATCAGCGGGTTTTAAAGATTCTGGTGGAGGGCATAAGCGTAACACAAAGCACGGGAGGTGGGCTTCACATGGGCGGATGGAACCATCTGCAATGTCCCCAGCAAGTGGTGTGTAGGAGACTCTGAATGGAAATAAAGTTAATTGTACTTTTTCTCCTTTTCTCTATTTTTGTCCTCTAGATTCGCCAAAACCACCTGTTGCTCCCAAGCCAAAGACTACCAGTCCACTGACGCCAGTGACTGTGCCCAAATTCCCTTCCTCACCCAGGCCCGATAGTCTTCACAGTCCAGACTCCATGTTCAGGGGTCCGAAGCCCCCCATTGCCCCCAAGCCCAGGCTGACTGCCCCAAACGAGTGGAGAGCCAGTGTGTACCTGAATGACAGCTTGAACAAATGCAGCAACGGGCGGCTGCTCTGTGTAGACAGGGGGCTTGATGAAGGGCCCCGGTCCATCCCGAAGTGCTCTGAGTCAGAGACTGACGAGGATTACATCGTAGTCCCCAGGGCTCTGCTGAGGGAGGATGAACCCAAGGATGGGGGCAGTGCAGGGAATGCAGCCCTGGTGTCTCCTGAGGCCTCTGGGGAAGAGGAAGAGGAGTGTGAGGAGGGAGGTGAGGCCTGTGGCCTGGAGGGGACGGGAGCTGGGGAGGACTCGGCAGTGACTGCTGCCCTAGCTGCAGTATCACTGAGCAGGGAGGGTGAGGAAGGCACAGACTTCGCTTCTGAGGACCAAGGAGAGGGCTGTGGCCATAAGCTAGGGACACTGGAGCAGGTGTCTGGAAGTGAGGAGGAAGAGAAGCTGGTGCAGCCACACAGGGAGTGCAGCCTGGAGGACGGTGATTCTTGGGCTGGAGAGGCAGTCTTCCAGAGTGACCTCCTGCCTCACATCCATGGAGGGGAGCACGAGCCCCCCGACAACCCCCAGGAGGCAGAGGAGGATGATGGGGAAGGCTGTGCCAGCACAGACCCAGCAGGGGCAGATGAGGGTTTGGGTCCTGACAGGCCCACCGAGGACATGGGACAGGATGCTGAGGAAGCCAGCAAGGAGCCTCCTGAGAAGGAGCCGGCCATGGGGGTCCAGGAGGCAGAGATGGCCACAGACTGCCCTGAGGTTCTTGAGGAGGGATGGGAAGAAGCCACAGGTGTCACAGTTGGGGAGCAGGTTTACTTCAGTGAACCACCTGACCACGAGGAGGAAACCAACCAAAAAGTGGCAGCTGCCACCCTGGAGGACCGTGCACAGGATGAGCCTGCCGAGGACAGCTGCCAGATAGATCATCCTTTTCCAGAACAACTGCATGGACAACTTTTTTCCCTCACAGGAAGCCCCTACGAGTTCTTCCCAACGGAGAGCACCTCTTTTTGTAGTGAGAG